AATATACTACATTTGTAAGGATCAAATTAAAAATATATTACGTGTATAAACAATCACTACAATAAAATAGATTTTTAGTAGCATTTAATATGACTTTTAGTGGCAATAAAAATCGCTACAAAATCTTTTACCGACATTTCACACATTAGCCATTGTATGCAGTGTCGCTAAAACATTTAGCGACAATTATTCTATATACTTGTAAAAACTCTCATAATGGTCGAGAAAAATGTATAACTTTTTGTGTCATTTGTTACTGGCATTTAAAATTGTCGCTAAAAGTTTAAGAAAAGATTTATAATACTCTTTAATTAACTTATTTCTAGTCGATGTAGGACTTGTAAGATGAGTACAAATACTCTTTAGTTACCTTATTTCTAATAGATGTGAGACTTAGAAGATGAAGGTTATCTTCTAAGTATATATTTTTTAATTTTTTTAATTATCTTATCTCCTAAATACCAATTTAGAATAGTAAGTTATAGGCCTAACTCAACCTTATAAAACATACTTGTAAGGTGAGAGTTATCATTCACCGTAGGTTAACCGAAAAGGGGTTTCTCTAGTTGAGCTCTGTGGGGTACAACGATAGGCCCATAAGAGTTCGGGCAAACAGTCGGGCCATGTTCCTTTAGCTTGCCCGAGTCGTCGTTTCAGCTCTTTGAGGATGACCTTGTTTGCTGCTTCGGCTTGCCCATTTGTCTGGGGATGTTCCACCGACGTCATCTTGTGCTTGATCCCTAGTCCGGCCAGAAACTCGTTGAAACGGCAGTCGGTAAATTGCAAACCATTATCAGTGATCAAAGCATAGGGAATTCCGAAACGTGTGATGACGTTCTTCCAGAAGAATTTCTGTATGTTGTTGGCCGTGATGGTGGCCACTGCTTCTGCTTCGATCCACTTAGTGAAATGATCAATGGCTACAAGGAGGAACTTAACTTGGCCTTTTGCTGGTGGGAACGGCCCTAATATGTCCATGACCCAGATAGAAAACGGCCAGGGAGTGGTAATAGAATGCAATTCCTCGGGTGGTTGATGCGTCAGGGGTCCGTGTTGCTGACAAGGCTTGCATTGTTGAACAAAATTGACACAATTCGTCAGTAGGGTTGGCCAATAGTATCCGGCTCGGATGACTTTGGTGGCAAGGGTTCGGCCGCCCAAGTGAGTTCCACATATGCCTTCGTGGATTTCCCTGACCACGTATTGTGCTTGTTCCGGTGCCAAACATTTCAATAATGGTGTCGACATCCCCCTCTTGTACAGTTCCCCGGCAATTAGGGTGTATCGGCCCGCCACAGTTTTCATCTTTTTTGCCTCCAAGGGATTAGTGGGTAATGATCCGGTTGTGAGATTCTCGACTATCCCGGTCATCCAATTGGGTGTTCCCTGCTGGACCTGCAAACATTCGGCTTGGGTGATGCTGGGCTTGTGTAGTTCTTGCTGCATCATGCTGCGCAAATGACTGATCTTCTTGCTGCTGGCTAGCTTAGCCAACTGATCAGCTCTCGTGTTGAGCTCTCGGGGCGTGTGTTTAACTTGGACATCTTCAAAGTCGCCCTTCAGCTTCTGGAAAGCGTGGAAGTATAATAACAGTGTTGGTTCCTTGATTTGGAAAGTACCGTTAACTTGGCCTGTCACCACCTGTGAATCACTCCAACATTGTATTTTGGTAACGCCTAGGTCCTGGGCCAACCTCAGGCCTGCCAAAAGGGCTTCGTACTCGGCCTGGTTGTTGGACTTTTTGAAGCCGAATCGCAAGGATTGTTCGATTACTACCTGGCCAGGGCCTTCCAAAATAATGCCGGCGCCACTGCCTCGTTGGTTTGATGACCCGTCTACGTGTAAAGTCCAGAGGGGGGATTAGAGGGGTATTTGTGGCGTGAATTCGTTTACGAAATCGGCCATGCTTTGTGCTTTGACGAGCCCTCTTGGTTCAAAACGAATGTCGAACTGAGACAGCTCTATAGACCAGGCCACCATTCGTCCTGCCAGTTCCGGCTTGCGCAGGACCTTAGTTATGGGGCTATCTGTTCGGACAAGCACCCGATGACTCTGAAAGTAGTGCCGAAGACGCCTGGCGGTATATACAAGGGCAAGGACTGTCTTTTCGAGATGTTGATACCTCATCTCGGTGTCTTGAAGCGCTCGACTGACGAAGTACACCGGCGTCTGTTCTATTTTTTCTTGCACCAAGACGGTACTGATGGCCTTGTCTGATACTGATATGTACACTATCATGTCAAGACCAGGGTCCGGTTTGGTCAACAATGGTGGGGTTGTGAGCATTGTCTTAAAGTTCTGAAAAGCCCACTCACATTCTTCGGTCCATTGGAATTTGGTGGCCTTTTTCAGCAAGGACATTATAGGTCTTGATTTTTCCGCCATGCATGGCAGGAAACGAGCTAAGGAAGCGATTCGTCCGGCCAACCGCTGCACTTCTTTTATGTTATGAGGGCTTTTCATACTGATGATAGCTTGGCACTTGTCGGGGTTGGCTTCTATACCCCTTTTCGACAACATGAACCCCAAGAATTTTCTGCCGGCTACCCCGAAGGTGCATTTTGCCGGGTTCAACCGCATGTGGTGTTGTCTAACTTCATCAAAAATGGTGCTGAGGTCTTTTAAGTGGTCACTGGACGAATTGGATTTGATTACCATATCATCCACATAAACTTCTAGGCAGGTTCCTATTTGGTGTCGGAAGATCTTGTCCATGAGTCTCTAGTAGGTGGCACCGGCATTTCTCAATTACCTTGTAACAGAAATTTGTCGAGTCGGTGATGAATGCCATTTTTTCTTCGTCCGGCGGGTACATGGGTAATTGATTATACCCCGAGTACGCGTCAAGGAAACTTAACCTTTTGTGGCCGGCCGCTCCGTCCACCAGCGCATCGATGTGAGGTAGTGGGTAAGCGTCCTTTGGGCATGCCTTGTTCAAATCTGTGTAATCGATGCACATCCTCCACTTACCATTTGATTTCTTGACCATAACGACGTTTGCCAACCAGGTGGAATACTTCACTTCCCTTATAAATCCTACCTGAAGTAACTTCATCGTTTCTTCCTTCACTGCTCGGGTTCTGTCTTCACCCATTTTTCTTTTCTTCTGGGCAATTGGTTTGGCGTCGCGGAACACCGAGAGCCGATGACAGTGGAAATCTGGATCTATGCCCGGCATATCAGCTGCCGTCCAGGCGAAAAGGTCCGAGTACTTCTGTAGGACTTGCCTAATGTCTTTTGCTTCCGTCTCAGACAATTGGGAGCTCAAATAAGTGACCTGCTCCTCACTTTTTCCGAGTTGGAAAGGAATCGTTGTTTCTATGGGTTCGACCATATCCTCGTCCTCCAATCTTGGATCAAGCTCCAAGCCTTCCATCGATCTTCGATTGACGTCGCCGATGACGTTGACGTCTCGTCTTGGTTTCGGGGTGGGAGGCACCTTCAGGCTAGCGAAGTAGCATTCGCGGGCAGTTTTTTGATCGGCGTGCAGAGTAATGATCGTACCCTCCTCCGAAGGAAACTTCATAGCCAAGTGGGGAGTGGAGACGATGGCTCGGAGCTTGTTCAGGGAGGGTCGGCCTAGTAAGGTGTTGTACAATGTGTTTGCATGCACCACCACATAACGTACCTTGATCCTTCTTCTATACTGTTCTTCTCCAAAGTAAGTGTACAAATCTATTGTCCCTCGAGTGTCTACTCGTTCGCCCGAAAATCCTACCAAGGGCTCATCATAAGGCGTCAGCTCTTATTCAGGGATGCCGAGCTACTCGAATGTTTTCCAGTATAGGATATCCGCCGAGCTCCCCTGGTCAACAAGGGTTTTCTTTACTAAGCAGTTGTTGATTTCCACGCTGATGACCATGGGGTCATCTTGCACGGGGTCAACACCTTGAAAGTCCTTATTAGTAAATGTAATGGGGGGCATATGAATTGGGGCTACTCGGCCAATGGCGTTAACCGACTTGATTGCCCTCAGATGTCTCCTGCGGGCCGAGGATGAACTTCCACCGCCCACGAATCCTCCAGCGATGGTGTTGATTATTCGTCTAGGTTGATCTCGGTGCCGCTGTTGGTTCCTTTCTTGGGACCGGCTGCGTTCACGAGATCGTTTCCGCGGAGGCGCTCGGTCCTGATTCTCCCTTCTATACTCCCTTCTATCAGGATGGTAGTCGTTCCTTCTGTTGTCTGTCGACCGGGTAAAGTTTTGAAGGTGGCCTGCTTTGATGAGATCCTCGATGTGATCCCGAAGGGCGGAGCACTCCTCCGTAGTGTGTCCTCTATTCCGATGGAATTGACATGCTTTAGTCTTGTCGGCATGAGGAGGTGTCATAGCTCTTCGAGGAACAGCCAATACTTCCGTGGCTAGAGCTTGCTCCAACGCCTTGGCCCTGCTGGTGTTGAGCGACGTATATTGCATATACCTTGGACCTCTATTATTGTTCTTCTCATGACTAGTTGCTTCTCGAGGACGAGACTTGGGAGGCTCCTTGTCATTGTCTCTTTTAGCGAGAAATTGGTCGGGTCGATTTTGGTTGCGAAACTCGGCCAGTTCCTCCATCTGCATGTATTTGGTGGCTCTCTGCCGCAAGTCGTCCAGGTCTCGGGGTGGCTTCTTGCACAAGCTATTGACAAAAGGCCCGGGTCGCAGCTCCGTGGTTAGGTGATGCATTGCTACGGCCGGGTCTAGGTTCCGGATAGACAACGTCATTTTTCTGAACCTCTCCATGAGAGCTCTCAAAGGTTCTTTCTTCTCTTGGCGTATATTGACTAACGCGATGGATGTGAGCTGATGTGGCTGACTCGTGGCAAACTGTATCACAAAACAAGAGGACAGGGACATGAACGAGTCTACCGACCCAGGTGGGAGTCTAGTAAACCAGTTAAGCGTCGGTCCTTTCAGCGAGGTGGGAAAGACTTTGCAGAGAATTGCATCCTCATCCGTATATAGGCCGACCTGGGTGACGAAAGCGTCGAGATGCTCTTCGGGGTCGGTGGTTCCATCATACTTCTCCAGGGCCAAGTTTTTCCAGTTGTCGAGCAAACGGGCCCCGGCAATGTCTGGTGTGAATGGCGTCCTTCCCTGTCGTCGTTGTTGATCTTGTGCCATTGTAGTTGGTCCACCCGATGGCCGAGGAACATTAACTTCCTTGTACCATCCCGAGGATTCACCCTGATCCCGGGTTGACTGATTTTGTGTATCGTGTGAGGGGTGCCACGTCCGATTATCGCTTCTGAGCTCGGCGTTCTCTCTTCTCAGGGCCGATAATTCATGGGCGTCCTTTTCTCTGAGCCTCCTGAGTTCCATCATTTCAGCCTTCAGTTGTCTGATGGCTGAAGATGGATTAGGCTGTTGAGACCGGTCCACGTACGATTCTTCCATTCCGTCGTTCTGATTAGTTTGCCGTATGGGGGTGCCTCGGGGCATCCCGAAAGGGTAATCGGTTGCGTTCTCCTGTTGACTTCTTGTAGTTACCATCTTGCTTCAAGGTCGAGAACCGTTTTGGTTTCGGCCCCACGGTGGGCGCCAAAATGTTTCTGCGTAAAAACACTCCTCTTGTCGTTCTTCCTTCTTGGTCTTCTGAGTCTTCGTGCCGACCGAATACTGTCCCCGAGAGGTGGGGAGGGTACCTGCAAAGGCACTCCAACGATCAAGTAAGTATTCGGTATAGAGCAATAAGTGCTTTTATATTGGATAATAACGTACCTTTTTATGTCACATCACCTGTGTATTTATAGTGACACAATTGGGCCTGATGGGCCTTCAGTCTTGGGAGATGGGTAACACTTGAGTTAGCCTTAATCTCCTCTTAATCTGGCATGGTAATTAGCGCATAATAAGTATCTAACTTGCCACGTGTCATTTGTGATCTGCTCTTTGTTGAAGTCCTCGGCCGAAAGGGTGTTCGGCCTTCCCCAAGGCCAAAAAGGTGTTCGGCCTAGGTCAATGCTGAGGAGGTGTTCGGCTTAGGTCAAGGCCGAGGAGGTGTTTGACTCATCCTTGATGGCAGTGTTGCTTGTGATCTGCTCTTTGTTGAAGTCCTCGGCTAGGCATGAGGCCGAAAGGGTGTTCGGCCTCCTCCAAGGCCGAAGAGGTGTTCGGCTTAGGTCAAGGCCGAGGAGGTGTTCGGCCCAGCTTAATACCGAGAGGTTTTGATGGGTGTTCTCCTAGTGGTAAGGGAGTCCTGGGTACCCCCTTTGGTCGAGAGGGTGTGTTCGACCCATCCTCCAGCCGAAGGGGTGGTGTGTTTTTGTCAGCTCGGGCACCCCTTTCGGCCTATTGCCTGACCGAAGGGGTGCCGATTGGTGTGTTTTCGTCGGCTCGGGCACCCCTTTCGGCCTATTGCGTGACCTAAGGGGCTCCTCCTAGTACAATATCTATGACAAAGAGAAGCACTAAGGTTGCAGAATAGCTTTATAGGCATTGACTGTTGGTACTTTTTGTTTATGCATAATTAACTAAGCATGTCTCTATTTTTTATTTAAGATGTAACAAGAGTGAAACCCTTACAAATATTTGTAAGTTTCTGTGGAACAAATGTTTGACTCTGTACAGCTACTTGACAGCGGCTAGTTTTTTAGTGTTCCTGTTTTTTTACATCATATAAGTTGGTATTTTATAGCATTTTGCCTCGTAACTGGATAAATGTTTATGAATTGTATTTTTGTTATGCATGACTCAATCTCATGCAATTGTTAACCAATGTACATATCAAAGTCAAAAACTAATAAAAATAAATCACTGATTATTAGAGGTGTTAAATAGGTTGGGTTTAACCTATCTTGACCTACATGGACCTATTTTAGGTTAAATAAGTCTAATCTATATTTTCTTGAGGTTATTATTGTGGTTCAAATAAGGTTATCGAATCGAATTAGCCTAATTAAAAAAAATACATTTAAGAAAATTAAATATATTCTTTTACAATAAAAGAAAACAAAAATTATAACTTGATTAATTAATACTATATACTTTAGCCATTTGAGTATCTTGGTTTTAATTATTAATAACCCTACTCTTACTTTTATTACCAATAGTAGTAACAAAAAGATTAGTAAGCTCTTTTTTTGTGCTAGGTGGAGTTTCATTGTATCTAAATCATTCTCCATGCTATTAAAAATGTCATAAACATTCATGACTGTAATATTCAAAATTAAACAAGTTTACTCATTCAGTTTACAGTTTTCACAATGAGTTATAAAGCAACAGACCAACATAATTATTAGTCCAGTTTACAAGCAACAATAATATCTAACAAAACAACACCAAGCAATAAAGCAACAACAAACCAAAATTTAATTCACAATTCTCTATCCACATAACACAAGCCATAAAAGGGATGAAGGATCACAGGTTTAAACTATCAAGGGAGCAATGGGAGTGATGAAACTCTCACAGTGGCTAATCTTAACTTAAACTTATAACCACAACTTTGTAAGCAAACACAAAAGAATGAAAAACTATTACTATTATTATATTTTTGTACGGTCCAGGTCGGATTCCGACCTGCCTACTACATATGTCAGGCCGACTGTAGCTCTCACCGATATGCCAGGCCGACTGTAGCTCTCGCCGATATGCCAGGCCGACTGTAGCTCTCGCCGATCACCCCTCTAAGAGTGGTTCGGTTATTATTCGACTTGGTTTCTCTACTTAACCT